CTATAAAATGAATCTTTTAGTAACAAATTGTTTGTTATTTTCCAAATTCTAATGTTAATATCCTAGCAGTTTAGACCAACCCAAACAAAATAGATACCACTGAGTGTTGTGACTAGTGGTTAAGGCTCATTGTGGTTGGCTTGTGGTTAAAAATTCAGAGTGTTGGTAACTCTTTTAGGATATTAAATGTAAAGGTTTATTTTTTACTAGCCTAGTACTCAATTGAGAGTGTCTAAGACCACACCTCTATGATCTTACCACTAGCACATTTGATGAGGCTGGGTGACGCATTTCTCTCTCGAGGAGTGGTTGATTCAAAGTAAGCCAAATGCAAACATTGCTGTCAGGGGCCCCCCCTTTGGTCACACGACTCATGTTCAGAGGAGGTATGCTGATCGTCCCCTCCTTAGACTTTTTATATAAGAAAAGGTAATTGATAGATAGTCACTAACCTTTTTAACAGCTGATAATTTAATTCTTATTCTTTTAATTTTAATAAAATAGTCATTAACGTCATTAAATTAGTACAATTATGTCTTTTTCATTTAAATCCGTAAAAAATTTAACAGAAAAAATCATGTCCAATGCATGTGATCCAATACAACAGGGTATTTAGTAATAACATAATCTTAAACTTGAAATTAAATGAAAATTACTGAAAAAAAGCAATTGCTAATAAAACCCAGAAAGCTAACCGAAACAAAGCCCAAAAAAGCAAACGTTGCTGGACGACCAAAAGTCGAAGCTCTCCTGCCATGGCGACAACGGTGCCGTGATTTCTCCCTTTCGTGATTCCGGCATCGCGCTGAGCTTCCCTTTGCGACGTTTCCATAAGAAGCTATGGAGAGTCGCGCCATCGTGAGTAGCAAATCTCAAGATCCCGATGGAACCGTATCTGATTTTGAGATCTTGCCGGCGGCGCCTGGTGAGAGATCTAGTTGGGATCTTTTATTCTCGTCTCTCTCTCTCTCCCGATGGAACCAGATCTGATTTTGAGATCTTGCCGGCGGCGCCTCGTGAGAGATCCAGTAAGGATCTTCTCTTCTCAACTCTCTCTCTCTCCCTCCTTCTCTTTCTTTCACTTCCGTTGTCGGAGAAGAAGACCGGAGCCGCTGGATCACACCGGCGCGAACAAATCCGGGCAGATGGGTAAAAGTCGATTGTATCCACAATAAAATGAGATCAAGTGCTTGTGATGGGCACATTAGGTATCATTTGAAGGAAAAAAAACTCTGTTTAGAAATGAATTTCTTCTCCATTGCCTTACACCCACGACGGAGGGACACCCAAATATGGTATTATAGCAGTCGTTAATAATCATATCTCAACTAAAATTAAAAATTTAAATTAACGAACTAAACGAGTTCACAATTTTTTTTTAATGTAGTTTTTGGGTTTTTTTTATTGATGTTTTATTAAGTTTGGATATTGCAGCCACGGTCACATGATGAGTTATGTGTGCATTTTTGTTATAAATTTGACAGACGTAGACGTAAACAGAAAGAATTTAATTGTATTAATTTAATAAGATTAAGAGATCATTTTATTAAAATTTAAAAATAAAAATTAAATTATCACTTAATAAAAAATTAAAAATTATTTATGTCAATTATTCTATAAAAAATAAAATAAAATAAAAAACCCAAACAAAATGGATAGCATAAGCTAACATAGGTGTTGAAATATTGAAAACCCTTTTAACCAACATTGTTTAAAAAGTAGTCAAACCGGTTTGCGAAGTCCAACTAATTGTCATTTTTTTACTGCCAACTTCTTCAAGCAAGAAATTCCTTGGTGGGGTTTACCAAGTACCAACCAATAGGCTGTAAGTACATTGGACGCTTCTGTTTGTCACCTACGATTCTCACAAGCTTTCAAAAGTTATGCCCCTAATCCTATAATTGAAAACAAGATTTACATCATTTTCCTTTGTATGAATCTATGATCTGTATACTGAATTCTCTTTTGCTAATAATAGCACATGATGTGTATTATTTACTCTAAAACTTTATCACTAACTGCCTAGGATACTAATATGATCTTGAGGGCTTTTCAACTTGGCGTCATATTCAAATACCCCTTATTCTAATATGCAGCAACTGAATCTAGCAAGAGTTTTTTTTTTTTTTTTTTGACCATTTCCATTAACAAAAATGGGAAGGATAAAGTTAAATAACTTCCGCATTATTAGAAACTGGGCAAATAGTGGACAACTACAGAAGTAGCTTTCTTATACTTGTTTGAATAATCTGCCAAAAAAAAAAAATGGCTTGCCTCTTTTCTGGAAAAGAGAGGACGATATTCACTATTCGGGTTGTTGTTTTTTGAGCATAAAAGGAGTGGTCTTGTTATAACCAATTCAAGATCCAGTCTATTGGGAACAATATTGGCTTGAGAATGAGGCAACAAAAAGTTTTTCTTTGTAGACGAATAAATATAGGCGGCAAAAGGTCAAGTTTTTGAGCAGGGGCTTTTGCCTACACTGCAAAGGCTATGAAACCATAAAGAAAAGCCCTTAATTTGAAATTTATTGTCTTTGCGCCAACCGGGGTTCAAAAACATAATAACAAAATATTATGGATGTTTGATTCATGGATTCAGAATCATAATTCAGAATTATTCTAAATTTACGTGTATTTTTTATGAGAAAAAATACTGTAGCGAACCACGAATCATGATTTGAATCAGGATTTGTTTGTTTCACGCATTTGAACTCATAATTCTGATTATGCTAAAATACCCTTTTTGAACACAAAATTTGAATTAAAAAACTTCCTACCAATGGTTCTCTCAAAAAATTTAGTTTCACAATCAAATTTATTGACTTAAGCACGTGAACTAAACATGCCGTGAATATTGCTTTTGATATGTATTTTTGGGTAATCTTGATAGATAGCTCTTAAAAGTGCACAAGTTATAATTTTTACTATTTACTCTTGATTCATAACCTTTTTAGTCAAATAATTACCCTAATAAAAGAATATTTATTAAGAGTAATGAGTAAAAGTCCGAACTCATGTACTCTTAAAAGCAAATTCTCTTTTTTTTTTGTATTTTTTAAACTGCTTTGATATGCATTTTCTCCTTTTAAGAATATATATATATATATATTTTTTTTTCTGATAGGATAAAAAAAGCTTATCCTAATATAATATAATTCTCATATTATTCTCTAATATAATATGGCTATAGTTTTAAATTGTTAAATTTTTGTCAAATATTATCTTAATATTATATAATTAAATCTTATCTTAACAATTCAAACCTCAGTAATTTTTTATTTTAAGGAGACAATATCATATTTTATTTTTTTCTCTCTGATGGTCATAATTTATTTTATAGTTAATTCCACCAATACTCTTTAAAATTTACCTTCATTTCTATTTTAGTTTGTGACTTTTAAAACGTCATATAATTAGTCTTTAAAATTTTATTTTATTTTAATTTTGGTCATTCTATTAACTAGGTGTTAAATATTTGTTGAAATATGTGAACATTATGGATCAAAATTGGCAATATATAAGTGATGTTTGATATATAGATTTTGCTACAATACAAACCCAAAATTTTAGTACTGCTACAATATTTTTCTTTCATAAAAATTTAAAAAATCATAATTAAAAACTCTAATTTAAACTCATATACTAAACAAGCCTATAAAATTTAGAGATTAAAATAATACAAAGATAAAAATTTAATTTTACGTAAATAATATTTAAAATTTAGTTATTTCTAATTTTGATATTTAATTTACACCAATTTCATTAAATATTTAGGGTCTGTTTAGTTCGTTAATTTGAGTTTTTAATTCGAGTTGAGATGTGACTTTATGTGAGAGCTTTTTACTGTAGTAAAAAAGTTAGATGTGATTGTTTCTGAGAACTTTTTACTGTAACAAAACTCAAATTCTAAACTCGAATCGGTGAAATGAACGGAGCCTTAATATCTAATCGATAAAAGAGCTAAATTTGAAAAAGAACAAAATCCTATCTCATTCATTTCGTTGATTTAAGTTTAAAATTCAAATTTTGTTATAGTAAAAAACTCTAAAAAACAGTAACATCTAACTTTTTACTACAGTAAAAAGCTCACATAAAATCACATCTCAACTTGAATTAAAAACTCGAATCAGCGAACTAAACTGATCCATGTGAAACATTTTTAAAATCAGGGTCCGTTTAGTTCGTTGATTCGAGTTTTTAATTCGAGTTGAAATGTGACTTTATGTGAGAGATTTTTACTGTAATAAAAAAGTTAAATATGACTATTTTTAAGAGGTCACAAGACCTCAGTGATCAAATTGAATAGGAGATAAACCTCCGATCATTCATGAGATTAATCTTTTATTTAATTTTTTTTTTAATATTCTTTTGTTTAATTTTAGGCCTCATTCATTTTACCAATTCGAGTTTTTAGTTTTAAATTTTTATTATAAAAAACTCTAAAAAATGTCACATCTAACTTTTTTTATTATAATAAAAAGTTTTAAGAAAATGTCACATTTTAACTCGAATTAAAAATTTAAATTTATAAAGGCCTCATTTTTTTTACTGATTTAAATTTTATTATAGTAAAAAACTCTAAAAAATAATCACATCTAACACATAATATTATATTTTAATTTAAATTAAAAACTTAAATTAATAAATTGAACTGTCCAAATAAACGACCTAATTTACAAAGTTCTGACACAAACTCAATAGAGCACTTTTTCTTCTCTTTTTTTCTAGTGACGAGGAAACTGACACTCATCACGTGCTCCTCTCAGCTCGTCTTAATCCACGCGCCATTTCTCTCTCTTTCTCTCTCTCTCTCAGTAATTAATTCATGTTCAGTTTCAAAAAGTCCTTCCTTTTGCTTTTGTTGTTTTCCGCTTCCTCTTAATCTCTTTGAGCCCGTTTGTTTTTTTTATTTATTCTTAATTTTAAATCATAATTTATAATTTTTTATAATATTTTTTCTTATAATTTTTTATAATTCTAATTTCAAGTCCACTTTGCCACTCGGAAATAGTACTTCCCTCATGATACCATCTCTCCCTCTTTAAAGCCTTCTCGCTTTGTTTTTTCTTTCATTTCACTCTCCAGATCTCCCTCTTCAGCCCAAGGTACTGAAAATACTTTCTTTTTTTCTTTTCTCTTTAATGGGTTTTTATTTTATTTTTTCTTTTTGGGTTGTGTTTTTCTCTTCTTTGTTAGAGGTTTGGTGTGTTTCTCTGAGCTTCATTCCGGTTTTTTTTTTTGGTTGTTGATTTCTCGTGGTGCAGTTTTGTGTAGCTCAACATTTGTTGTAGAAGAAAAAAATCGTCATTTGCCTTAAAGTTGTCTCCTTTTTTAGTTTTAGCATTTATAATTGCCAATTCTCTAAATATACATTTTCATTTTCCTCATTTTAATACCTTCAAGGTTGGTGTCTTTTTTTTTGGGTTTTCTGAAATTTACCAAAAATGAAAACTTTAATAATCTATCATAGCACATTATACATGCCTTTGCGTGCTGTGATGAGTTTTTCTTTACCCTTTTGTTTTGCGCTCTCTTTTGGGTTTTTTCTTCTGAACCATTTTTGTTCAGTTTTGTTGGGTATATATGTATATATATATATATATATATTTTTTTTTTTTGGCCTATTATTTATGTTTTGTGGGCTTGAATGAAAGATTTTTGTTGGGTTTTTTTTTCACATTTTTGTTCTCCTTTGGTTTCTTTAGCAGGAAATGGGTGTCATATCCAGAAAGATATTCCCAGCATGTGGGAGCATGTGCGTATGTTGCCCTGCTTTGAGGTCCAGCTCTCGAAAACCGGTCAAGCGCTACAAAAAACTGCTTGCGGAAATTTTCCCTAAATCTCTTGTGAGTATTTTAACTTACATTTCCAATTTAGTCACATCATGCTTCATAGACATTTTGTTGGAATTGATTCTGCATCGTTTATTCTGTTTTTATGGCTATTTTGTTGCAATCTAACCCCTTTGTTGTTGATAATCCACCCTTGGTTATGTTAGACATTCGTGTTTTAAGTCGTACTATTTGATCCTCTTTTTGATCCTCTTTTTGGGATCTCGGAAGGTGTAAAAGGATTGTTATATTATTAAGATGTTTATATAGCTGAGAATTACTTGGTATGGTGAGGGGGAAAACAAAATTCTATTAGTAGGACACAGTTATGAACCATCAAGTTTTCAATGTTGTATTTTTCATTAAGTTCCGATAAATTGTGGTTCTTATTTTAATTTGATATGATTTTAACGTGATTTAAAAACTATGCTTGTTAGGGTTTTTTATTACCCCATCACAGAATTCTCTTTACTTAAGGTGGGAATTTTAAAGCATTTACTTTTCAGGTTCCTTCATCAATGAAAGGAAATGTCTGAAACCACGCTTGGCGGTATCCATTTATAAAATAATGGTGTTTTTATGTGCATCATTGAACTCCAGAACATCTTATCTATCTAGACTCACAGTCTTGTCTGTCATATATGGTTTTTCGATAGCGCAAATGGAAGTTCTCAGTCTTTTGTAACTTTGCAGGATGGCCCTCCAAGTGAAAGGAAAATTGTTAAGCTATGTGAATATGCTTCTAGAAACCCCGTTCGGATCCCAAAGGTACAGACTTTCTTCTCAACCTTGAACCTTCTATATCTGATTGATGGGTACATGTAGGCTTAATCTTGCAATCAGCGAGCCAAATGCTGACTGCTGAACATTTTTACTGTTTATTGTTTTCCATAGATCGCAAAATATCTCGAAGAAAGGTGCTACAAGGAGCTAAGATGTGAGCACATCAAGTTCATTAATATTGTTACAGACACTTATAGCAAGTTACTTTGTCTGTGCAAGGAGCAGATGTAAGTGCTAGCTGTATCTATCCTCTTTTACAAAAGTTTGTAACAAAAAAAAAGGAACTTTTGATATCAAAGAAATGTTTTCGTTTTTTATTTTTGAAAGAAAAGTTGTGTATGAATTTTGGGGATAACTTTTCAAGTTGTGATATGGTGCCGCACATTTTACTTAAAGATCCTGTTAGTAAATGTTTTTTATGTACTTTTTTTTTTCTTGTCGTGTTAAATATCTTTTGCACTTTGCAGGGCTTACTTTGCTGTTAGTTTATTGAATGTAATTAATGAACTTCTGGACAACTCCAAGAAAGATGCTGTGCGTATTCTTGGATGCCAAACTCTTACAAGGTTCATCTATAGTCAGGTGAATTACAACTTAGCTTTACCCTTTCTTGAAAGATCAATTAGAATTTTGTCACGCCCCAAAACAGGGGTTGGTGACGTGGAGGGTTGTTTAGAAATTAAACATGAATTAAGAAAGTGGTTAAACATTTAATAATGTTAAAATCAGTTTGAAAGATAAAAACATTAAGAATTTCCAAACAAACTCCACTATTTTAAGGAAATTATGTTTACAAAGAGTGAGGTGGATTTTCTCAAACAAAACAAGTTTCAAAACCAGCCTTTGGCATCCCATTAGGATCCTCCACAGGAAAATCCATTTTGTACATACATAAACAAAACAGAAAAGTAATATACTGACATCAACCACAGTCTAGTAGAATTTAAGGTTACAAACCATAATTTATACATGTCTTTGTAATAAGCGGAAAGGAAGGGAGTAAATTACAAATTCTTCTCTTCTGGGGATCGTGCTAGCGTCACCAATAGTCACTATCTACTTGGCACTACTCCTAGCGTCGCCTGAGAAGAATTTAAAACATTGAAAACTGAATAAACAGTGAGCGAAATGCTTAGTAGGATATAATTTCATAAAACTTTATAAATTTTAAAGAGAACACGGTCCGAATGTATTATTCGGAACCCAAAACATCCTTTAAATGAAAGGAAATAATCATAAATCTCAAGTTTCATGTTCAGGTAAGTGATAGGAACTTGTTTGTTGGTCAGAGAAGTTAGTAGTTTGTTAGAAAGGATGTTTTTAGTTAGTTATTGTGGGCTTTAGTTGGTGAGGGAATTAGTTAGAGAAGGCAGGGGATATTAAAAGGGGGGTTCGGGAACGGAGAGAGGGCAGGAAAATATTGGAGTCTTGTTGAGGAAGTCTTGGCTTAGGCTGAGCAAGGGGAGGTTTAGTAGTACCTCGAATCACTGCATTGTAATTCATTCTTTCATTCAGTAAAGATTCATCTGTCTCTTCTCAATTCTTCTCATTTCTTGAGAATTGTCGTAGATCTTTTCAGTAAGTAATTTATAAGATTATGCTGAATCACTTACCTTATCGCAAAGCCATGATATCACCACCAAAGTGGCCCGTACGGGTTTCGGGACCTGCCCCCAAGAATATGATCTCCATACCCCGATCTCTAAGCCATCATGTGTTTACCATTTCTTAAAATATCTTATTTCAAGAAAATATTACTTTAAATTCTTCTTTTAGTCTCAATAATATCAAATATATGTTTTATCTTTAAAACGTTTTCATAGGCCAAAGTCATTTTAAATAGGGTTATCAATGATATGGACAAGAATATCCTACCTCTTGGCAATTTAGTGTACGGATAACTTCACGTTGTCCAACCGTCTATTCTTGAAGCTCCACGTCCAATCGTGCTGCTAGTTTGCCATCAAAACAATGTTTTAGAATTGAGATCTCACCTTTAAAACGAATCTAGTTCAATTATGTACAATTGTTTCCTATTAGTGTGCCTTGACTCAACTCTAAAGTTTATAAACAACTTCATAATCCAAGTTTTTTTTTTTTTTCTGCAACTTTGCTGCAGCAAAGTGTAGCAGAGTGCAGCAAGGTGCAGCCAAAACAGCGAGAACAATACCAAAACTCGCATTTTCAAGTTGATTTCAAGATAAATTCATGGGAAATTGCTAAAACTAGTTTCCAAACACTTCAATATACTCAAGAATTGAAAACTCCCAAATTCAACTTAAATTCAACCACAATTTGTCCAAATCTAAACCTAAATCAAAATTCATCAAATCTTTAACCAAATTCATACTTCTTTAAACCAAGAATTCAAATACAAGAGTGGGTTTCTCAAGAAATTTTACCTCAAACTGATTGAAGGAGCCTTTCTCTCTGTTTTGTTTTGTTTTTTTTTCCTTCTTGCTGCTGAAGAAAATGAGGGAAACATATAAAGGAAAAAGGAAAAGTAAGTGTATTTTCAAAATTGAAAGTAATTAAAATTTTTAATGACATGATTAATTAAGAAAAATCAATATTAGGCACAATAATATATCACAATTAACATAATTAAACATACTTAGAGAGAGAGAGAGAGAGAGAGAGAGAGAGAGAGAGAGAGAGAGAGAGAGAGAGAGAGAGAGAGAGAGAGAGAGAGAGAGAGAGAGAGAGAGAGAGAGAGAGAGAGAGAGAGAGAGAGAGAGAGAGAGAGAGAGAGAGAGAGAGAGAGAGAGAGAGAGAGAGAGAGAGAGAGAGAGAGAGAGAGAGAGAGAGAGAGAGAGAGAAGAAAAGAAAATGAGGGAAAAATATAAAGGAAAAAGGAAAAGTAAGTGTATTTTCAAAACTAAAAGTAATTAAAATTTTTAATGACATGATTACTTAAGAAAAATCAATATTAGGCACACTAATATATCACAATTAACATTATTAAACCTACTTAGAGAGAGAGAGAGAGAGAGAGAGAGAGAGAGAGAGAGAGAGAGAGAGAGAGAGAGAGAGAGAGAGAGAGAGAAGAAGAAGAAGAAAAGAAAATGAGAGAAAAATATAAAGGAAAAAGGAAAAGTAAGTGTATTTTCAAAACTGAAAGTAATTAAAATTTTTAATGACATGATTAATTAAGGAGACGTTTGGTTCATGGATTAGAATCATGAGATTAGAACCATTTTCGATTTACGTGTGTTTTCTGTGAGAGAAAACACTGTAGCGAACCATAATTCGAATTAGGTTACGAATCCTCCAACCAAACAACCCCTAAAAAAAATCAATATTAGGCATACTAATATATCACAATTAACATTATTAAACCTACTTAATTCTTCCGGTTGTTACAAATTTACTTAACAAGACAACAAGTTAAACGACAGTTTGATCCGAATTTATGACAAAAATGGATAATCATTGTAAATTATGCAGTGCAGCTAATGATATCCCAAAAGTTGCCCTGCATAGAATGAATTGTTGATGTTGGAAGATTTATGTAGTTTTTATTTTAGATTATTAGTGTTTTCTTTTGTTGTTAGTAGATATTTGTCGTCATTGATTTCTATCATGAGCTTATGTTCAATGGCCTGATGTATGAACAGGCAGATGGAACTTACACACACAACATTGAGAGTTTCGTACATAAAGTATGCCTGCTGGCCCGTGAAAGAGGTGGCGACCATCAAAGGCACAGCTTGAGGGCATCAAGCTTGCAGTGTCTTTCTGCCATGGTAATTTTATTTTTTGACCATAAAGTTCTTTACCTTTTGTTTTTTAGGCTTTTAATCTGATTGGGGGACTTGGGTGTTGTGTATTTCACACGTCTGTTCTTTGGCAGGTGTGGTTCATGGCAGAATTCTCTAATATTTTTGTTGATTTTGATGAGGTCAGTTATTTGAGGTTATGTTTGAACTTTGAAGCCGTTATTTGTTTTTTTTTTACGTCTCTGCACATTTTAAATTTTACAGCCCAAAATTATATTAGTCTTCTGTAAATCTCATTAAAAATGAGACTCAGTATCTCATTATGATATTTTCTGCTTGCGTTTTTTGAGAAGTAAAGCACACATCTGAATGAAGGACCAAAATTAAAACAAAAAAATTGAATCTCGTTTATGTATGTATGCATACATGCATGCAGACACATGTATATATATATATATATATTTGTAAATCTCTATAATTCAAAATGATCGCCTTTCTAAGTTGTATTTTATTTATATTCCTTAAATGTCCATTTTTACAATTATCTTGTTCAAAGTTCATTTAACAAGTGGTTCTTATATGGTGCAGATTGTACATGTCATCTTAGATAACTATGAGCCAGATACCCATGGCGAAGAAGATGATGAGAGAGCAGAATCACGTCGTAATTGGGTGGATGAAGTAGTTCGAAGTGAAGGCAGAATTGGTGCAATTGTTGGTAGTGATACCAGCCCTTGCAACATCATTAGGGCACGACCAGAGATTAAGGATCCTTCTCTTTTATCGAGGTAACCATATTTGAAAACCTACAAATACAGCTTGTTTTTCAATCATTCAGTTGAAAAACTTTCTAAGAATCTTAGTTCCTGTGTTTTTTTCTTCTTTTTCCAGAGAAGAAATAGAGACGCCAAAGGTATGGGCTCAGATTTGTATTCAGAGAATGGTTGAGTTATCCAAGGAGAGCACAACAATGCGCCGAGTATTGGACCCAATGTTCGTCTACTTTGACTCTGGCCGTCACTGGGTTTCTGGGCAGGGGCTGGCCATGGTGGTTTTGTCGGATATGTCCTACTTCATGGAGAACTCTGGTAAGTTGATTTTTCCACCTAATTTTATGCATGCACTTTACTCCTAAATTTTGGTCATCATCACTGATGTCAATTTCTGTTTCAGCGAACCAGCAGTTGATTTTAACTTATGTGATCCGACATCTTGACCACAAAAACATTTCTCATGATCCTGAACTCAAATCTTATGCGGTCCAAGTCGCTACTGCTTTAGCTAGGCAAATCAGATCGGGAGCAATGCTGGCAGAAATTGGGTTTGTCTCTGATCTTTGTAGGCATCTAAGGAAGAGCCTTCAAGCCACTCTTCAGCCTGTTGGAGAGCAAGAGTCCAACTTGAATGTCATGCTCCAGAATTCCATTGAAGATTGCTTACTTGAAATTGCAAAAAAGGTAATTTTGATGCTTTTTAGGTACCTGTAGATAAGTTCTCATTCTTTTTTTCACTGTGCTTATAGCCGCTTAATGCCTGTCGTCTTTTTGTTACTAGATTGGCAATGCACAGCCACTATTTGACCTGATGGCTATAACTTTGGAGAAGCTGCCATCAGGAACAGTTGCTAGGTCGACCATTGGATCGTTGATACTTCTCGCGCATTCAATCTCATTGGCCTTGGTTTCTTCACGTACACAACAGGTGAGAAGAGTTTGGTACTATTACAGTGATTTTATTTTATTTTATTATTATTATTATTATTATTATTTTTTGTGTTGCAATTATATGTTTGTGCATTGAAGACTTTCGCAATCTTTTATTGAATTCTTCACAACTTTGCAATTGAGTGGAACATATAAACCATTTTGTACTGTTTTCATATAGGTATTTCCGGAATCTCTTCTTGTCCAACTTTTAAAGGTGATGTTACATCCGGATATTGAAGTGCGTTTAGGAGCACACCAAATATTTTCTATTCTTCTTGTTCCAAGTTCTAATCGTCCACGGCATGAAGTTGCTTCTCTGCGATCTGGCTTTCTATACCAATCAAGAAGATGGCACTCTAGTACCGCATCTGCGTTTGCTTCAATTACGGCTAGACTTGAAAAGCTCCGTAGGGAGAAGGATGGTGCCAAAGCCGATAAGCACGGGAATAACATTCGTGAGGATTCTGAAGAAAGGGACAGTGTGGACGAAGTCTGCAAGCAGGGACGTGGCCGCAAGAATTCCCCTAACTTTTACAAGATTAGTTCCATCATTGACAGAAAAGCCAGTTCAATTGGTTTTAATGAGGCGGTGAGCAATTATCTTTTTTTTATGAAATCATAACTGGCCAGTCTCTGGATTTCTCTAGTTCTAGCTTATTATTTTTTGTGGTTTGTTGATTGGCTCAGGAACCTTTTGTCATGAGGCTTAGTGAGGATCAAGTAGCACACTTGCTGTCTGCTTTTTGGATACAAGCCACTCTTTCAGATAA